TATTTCCCCAAATATTGTTGTTACAGAGTGCATATTACGGCTGCGGAGGACAAAAATAACAAATCGGATGAACAATGTATATGGGAGCTATAGCTATATCTGAACCGATTTCGATCAAATTTGTGGCACATTAATTTTCAGGCCTAATTTGGTTGTATGTGCAAAATTCCATACTATACGGGCTGATATAACACGTTTGGTGCACAATAAAAGGCAAATCGGACGAATATATCTATGGGAGCTATATGTACATTTTTACCGATTATCTCCAATTTCAATAATAATTTGTGCAAAATTTCATCTGGATCGGGCAATAAATGCGAACTATTATTACGAATGCGAGGGATTTAAACACCAAATCATATGAAACATATATATGGGAGCTACAGCTATATCTGAACCGATTTTCCAAATTTAATGTCCTTGCTTCTAGACTGTAGTCGATGGGATATGCCAAAACTCAGCTTATTTCGACTGATATTGGCTATTTGGTGCACAACTCACCCGAAATCGATTGAGGATATATATGGTAGCTATATCAATATCTAAACCGATCTTGACAACATTTGATACACTTATTTAAGAGCTGTATATGATATATGGTACCAAAAATCATTTTTGTGGAATGCATATTACGCTTTTAGGGATACCTTCATATGACGGTTATACCAAACGTGGGCCCAAACTTATAATTTTTTGAAAGGGTATTTTCTTCTTTCTAAATTCTCAAGTTACCAAAATGTATCAAAATAAGTTTGAAAAATTTAAAAAAAATACTTGAAATCTTTACCTTATATGTGGGCAATATTAAAACGTAGACCGACATGACCCATATTTTGTACAACTATTGGATTGTACCAAATCTAAAACTCTATCGTCAGTTTTGCGAAGGCTATGTATGAATGGTCCCTAAAAAAGTTTAGCCTGGTAACTAGAGTATTCAATTAATCGGGTTTAGATTTTGTTCGATTAAAAAATTGATCGATTTTGGGTGTTTCATTTCTTCCATTAATGGATTAAGAGTATTAAATTGCTCGAATAATTCGATCAACCGAATAAGTCGAACAACTCGAATAATTTCTGTATACCTTACGTGAAACAAAAACAAGTTTAATGTTGGGTTGAAAATTTATTTATAAAAAACATCAAAATTATATCTATATATATAAAAATCAATTGTTTTTCTTTGGTAATGGAATCAGTTGAGAACGGCTGGACCGATTGCATAATTTTTTATACAAACGTTCGTGATACCCCGAGTTAGGTTTTTAAAGAAAAAAGTATTGACCACGCCTAATTTTACGCTCACTATTTCGATTTATTTAAAATCCTTATATTTGCCAAAATAATGAAGATATCGGTTTAAAGATGATTACACGAGATGCTGTTGACTTCTCATCCAACCCTAAGTACTTATTTGGCGGCTGAAGAACTAACCACGCCTACTTTTAATCTAAATATATCTATCTATATATATAAAAGAAAGTTGTGTTAGTTACTAAGCTTATAAATTAAGAAACGCTGGACTGATAACATCCAAAAAAATCGCATACAAATTTAAAATTTTGAACATTTTCATTTTGACTTTTGAAATGTACAATCGTAATGTTTTATTTAGCATGATTTTTTTCCATTTGACTTACTTTTTTCGAATGTACATTTGAAGTGTTTTTTATACTTTATTTCTGAATTCGAATATTAATACCAATTTGACGTGATTTCTTGAGAACCGAAATTAAAGGAAAGTTACATTGAAGTATAGTACCGAATTATGTGATGGTGAAACGGAATAGATGATATCGAAATAATTTAACGCGGTAACACAAAGATAAAAGATAATTACTTTTTCAAAATAGCTAAAAATCACGAAAAAAGAGATCTCATTGCAAAAATTATAAAATCGGGAAAAAATGGAGAAAAATCGAAAAAAAATTCAATGGAATCGAATTTTAAATTAATAGTACATTCTATAGAAAGACCTTTAAACTTTTGCTGTAAAAACTCTTCGAACAAGTTGAATGACTTGGCGGATTTTGACAATTCATACAATTAAAATATGCCAATAAAAATGTAAATGAAAAAATCTTTTTGCTGGATTTTTTTTTCAATTTGACATATTATATCTCTTCTATTTTGAATTCTGAATGAATAATATTAAAAATATAATGAGTGACCTACTTGGACCTACTTCTTTCATATGACAATAATCCGTCCAATGAGAACTCAAAATGCAAGATACCTTAAATCGCTTTTGCAGGTCATGATATATGACAGCCGGATAAGGTTACAATCCGATTTCAAGTATAGTTTACATTTTAAGCATATTTTGCATACTCATTTTAGCAAAACTTGGTAATTTGAGAAGAAACCAGCCTCGCAAAAATGATCACGTTTTGGTATAACCATCACATGATTTAAACTATTTTCGTGGTCTTCGACATTTAATTTTTAGGCCTTTATTTGGCATCTTTGTTTCTAAGGGTGTAGAAAACCTCGTCTCATAAAATTTTCAACTTTCGGAGTAGAGTCCATCTTGGACTTGACCACATTTAGCAATTGATTTGGCTAAAAAATTGTATTTTGGCTATTCTGGGGTAGGGAATCTTCTTACAGATAATTGTCCATATAGGCATTTATTTGAGAATAGGTCCCACATTAGTGTACCTCCAAGTCTACTTTCCCAACCAATGTGTGGTCAAAAAGGAAATTTTGTATTCTATTGATCTATTGAATTTGTAATCCCCAAGAGAATATTGGTTGGGAACGTAGGTGGGATGTATGTCTATATGACATAAACTCCGAAATGGGACTCATTCTGTCGGAAATTTTGGCAGAAACATGAAAAAATCACAAATATTAATTTCTTTGATCGTCATTGAATTATACTATGATAAAAAATATGGACTTTAAAATACACGGTACAAGAATAATTTTGTTTGTGTAATAAATACTTTGAAATAACTTTGGGAAGATGCGTGCCCTAGACAGGCGGCAGACTTAATTTGAATAAAGTGTCTTAATGCTAATTGATTCGTGCATTATACCAATTGTTAATGCACGAAATTCAGTTTATACAGCATTGGGCAAATTTAACATAGCAAAGTTTCTAAAAACCAGGAAAATAAGCGAAGCATATGCGGCTAAAGAGATACTGAGTTTTTAATAGATCTGTGGGTGGAACTAAACGGAAATACAGATCTGCCATCAATCAGGGTAAAAATGGAAAGGGGATTTTTCAACGTTTATGTGGTTTGTTTGATGCTGAGACTGATATTAATGGAGAACAACCGACCGAGAATTGAGCCTGGCGATGTTGAAAAACATTTTAAAATGTGTATCCAATGGGTTCCAAAAATAATATAGATTCCACCAAATCTATAATATTAAGAGAAATTCAAGAAGAGGCCATACAAAAAACACTACAAGTTCCTACAATACAAGCCGAAAACTAATATGTTTTCCGTTGAAGTCTTTAAAAATAAAAGTATTGTTGTAAAAAGTATTGTTGTAAATAATATTAGGTTAATAATTTATCAATTTAACGTACAGGGCTGACATATATATTCATCGGAAAAATATATTTTAATCAAAAGTTTTGCTTATTCTTTATCCGAAAATGTATAAATTTGCGGTAAAAATTAATCATAAATATAAAAAGTTGTTATACAATTTAAATTAATTTAGATTTCCTGCCAGAAACTATGACGTTTATAAAGAAAAAAAAATTATTTCATAGAAAATAAATCCAACATAGTGTAACTTTGCTAAATATGAAAAGAATACACAAAGTGCCAATTACGATCAGCGTACATTCAATCATACGATTTAAATCTATAAAAAAACTAAATCTATGTGGGATATTACAATAATTTAAATGTTGATAACGTTTTCTACTTTTTCGACGTTGTGTACATGTATATGACGTTTTCGACGTTTATAAATGTTCAACAGTTGAATACCTAAAAACTATCAAACGGAACATGTATGGTTAAAATAAAAAAAAAATTCTATTTGCGCAACAAATAGAAAACTATTATCATTGTAATTGTAGAATATTGTATTGAAAATAGCAATTTAATAAATGTTATTTCACTGGTTATTCATATTTCCTATCTCCTGTTGTCTTGACACTAGATCACTTTATATTTCTTATTTTTAGACCATGTGCCTCCTTTATAAATATTTCGCTTCATTCGTCGCTTTAATGAACGTCGATAGAATTTCTCCAGACATTTTTTCACAAAAATACAAAACAAAACTTGAGGAAAGTTTACGCTTCACAATTGCTTTGCAAGCGTTGTTTGTTTGTAAGACGATTTTGATTACATTGTAGACCAAACTGAAGATATTTAACTGTGCAAAAAACACGTAACGTTCGTAAGGCAGAGTTGCCCTATATTAGGATCAATGTGAGTGGATTTGGAAATGATTAGTAAATCCAAATAAATAAAAATAATTCAAATTGTGTTAGTAATTGATTTTCTCGGATTGTCGATTTTGTCTCTGGTGCATGTGTTACAGCTATTTTAGTGAACACTGCATTCATTTCGAAACATAAACTTGAAAATTTTCAGTCAATGTAATTTCCTTAATGCATTTTTATCGCTAGTTTCTTTTCGCCTGTTTTCACACAACAAACAGAACTTATGTTTCCATTAAGTTTGTTAGATGAAAATAGGGCACACTCAAATCGAAAAAAGTCAAAGGACAAAGATCATCCTACTTGTGAATTAGTTGTATGAAAGCATTGACATAAATATTAACAGAACTTCAATCATTTTTACGCGACCTTACTAATAGCCCTTGCATCATATGGTAGTGCAACTTCTAACCATAAAAAATTGGTAATACATAATTCTAAATGGTGAAAATGATAAAGAATTAAAATGAAGATTAATGAGTGTATTGTATTGAAAGAAATTAACCATATAAACATATTAATAAGCACTTAAACATTTTCAGTATTTGAACCTTGTCATTTATTATTTTGTTCTTTATAGGATGATCTCCATTAATGAACGGATTTGGGCTAATGAAGGAAATGAATGGCATTTGGTCCAGTCGTCAATAAGAGTTATATCTTTATTATCAAATAACGCACATACGTTATGGTCCCGATCAAGGTATTAATAGAACAGTAAATCTTTTATATTGTTTAGTAATTAAATTTAATTCACTTTAAAAACAGGAGACGGATCATTGGAAAAGCTCAGGATATGGTGTCTGTTTGTTTAAATATTTGTTATCAAAAACCAGGCACTGAACGTATGCAGCAAACTCTGAAAGAACTTCAATGTAATTTTCAGAGAAATCTACCATAAAATATCTTGTGTTCAAAAATTATATGAAAATAATAAACATAATTTTTAAAAATAAAGCTCTAAGTTAATATATTGCAAGTAACCTGAATTCTGTAATAAGAGATTTCATTTTACACTTGGTTCTTGTTTAAAACACTGGATGTGGTCTCGGATTTTGGTAGATGGTATAGATGAGCAAAACATTTAGCATGACTGCTTCTCCTGTGATTTAAAACAAGTAAGAAAGCTGTAAGTTCGTCCGGGCCGAACTTTGAATACCCTCCAACATATGGAACAAATTCGGAAATTTTCAAAAAAAAAAAAAAAAAAATCCGTTAAAAATTCTGTTAAAATCTTAAAAATGCCGAATGTAGCCGTTATATTAGGGTCTATACGACGACGTGACGTGCATAGGCAACTTTTGTCATAAGTCATTACAATATTCAAATGCGAATCTTGGAAAAAAATCGGTGAATAATGTATAATGTAAAATCATCTAAATACCGAATATAGGGAGGTACCATGTTGGCTATACCAAGACGTGGACCTACACAGAAACTTTTCTGTCTTAGGCAGTAGTAACTATTACGAACTTCAAATACCAAATTTGAAACAACTGCGGTGAATAATGTCGCTCAAATCATCAACATACCGAATATCGGGAGGTAACGTTATATGGGGGCTATACGAAGACGTGGACCTGCACAGATAATTTTCTGTCATAGGCTGTAGTATCTATTTCGAGTTTCAAATGAAACAATTCCGGTTAATAATGTCGCTAAAATCATCAAAATACCGAATATCGGGAGGTACTTATATGTATGGGGGCTATATGAAAACGTGGACCTACATGGCCCATTTTCAATACCAAAAGACATAACATACATTTTAGTAAAATTTTATCAATCTTATTCAGTTCGTTCGGAAGATAGAGTGATTTCCACAGACGGACGGACATCGCTAAATCAACAAGTGTTAAACACGAAGTTTTAAATACGACTCCTAACTTCGTTGTGAGTCGATCGGATTTTATCTAAGCGTGATGTGGTAGATAAAAATTAGTTTTTTCTTCAGTCTGTTGAATTGAGCTGAGCGATGTTTCGGGAAAACCCCAATTCTTTGCATTCTTTAAATGGGAGAATCACCACATATCTTCCACCCTTGTTCTGTACTGTTGTTTCAGTGTGATTTCATTCACAAAATTTAACCGTAAAACTTTTTTATGGGTCTCCTCCATATCCCAAAAACGTGTAAGTACTTTCTCTATTGAAGTTTTGTTTAGAAGAGATATTTTATTTCGCTAAAGAGTGCGTCCCGGTGTAGATCCTCCAACTATCTATCCATCCAAATTTGGTTTTTCGAACTAAAATTGATTTAAATGTTTTTATCTGAGTTACAGTTATTAATATTAATTGTCCTATGTCCATTCCAATAAGTAAATCTATCTGTTGACTGACATAAAATTTCGGGTCAGCCAATTCTAATGATGTTACATCTCGAAGTTGTGATTTATCTAAGTATTGTGGTGGTAAATTCGAAGGAAAGATCTTTAAATCTGGAGCTCAGCCTTCCACTTTAAAGCTAGAGCTCATGGTTAACAAGGAAGATTTGTTGAAGTATCAGAATTGTGTCGATGACACTATTTTTCAAAGATTCTCTGCAATCTCTGATGAAGTGATTTGATTTGCAGACCTGGCATGTTTGAGTATTTCAGTTTATTTTGTTGAGGTTGAGTTGCATTGTTTGCATATTTGGGACATTTTTTTGAAATGTTTTCAAAAATCTAGGTGTGTGACTGTTATTTTGCTTTTTTTTGCAAATTTTTATATATAAGGCTTTACATTTACCAATTATATTACAAATTACGCTATCTTGTCCAAAAATTGTATATGCTATGCAATATGGCGTTTATGTGTTAGCTTGGTGACGACACTTTTCCAGAAGTAACAAGTTATAAAGCAGTAAGTTCGGCCGGGCCGAACTTTTAATACCCTCCACCATTTGCAACGAATTTGGAAATTTTCAAAAAATAATACCGAATATAGCCGTTATTTTGGGGTCTATACGACGTGAACATACATAGGCATTGTTTGTCATAAGCCATTACCATATTGAAATTCGAAACTTGAAATAAACGGTGAATAATGTAGCTACAATCATCAAAATATCGTATATAGGGAGGTGCCTTTAAATTGGAGCTGTGCGAAAACTGGACCAGCATAGACAATTTTCTGTCACAGGCTGTAGCATCCATTACGAACTTCAAATACCACATCTAAAACAATTTCGGTGGGTATTGTACCTAAAATCGTCAAAATACCGAATATAGGGAGGTACTGATATATGGGGCCTATACGAAGACCTGGACCCGCACAGACAATTTTCTGTCTTAGGGTGTAGTATCCATTTTGAATTTCAAATACTAAATTTTAAATTACTTCCGGGAAAAAGGTCGCTAAAATCATCAAAATACCGAATATCGGGAGGTACCGTTATATGGGGGCTATACGAAGACATGGACTTGCACAGACAATTTTCTATCTTAGGGAACTTCAAATACCAAATTTGAAACAATTCCGTTGAATAATGGCTCTAAAATCATCAAAATACCGAATATAGGGAGGCACCGTTATATGGGGCTATATGAAAACGTGGACCTACATGGGCCATTTACGAACTTAACGTTACAAACGGAATGACAAAGTTAATATACCCTCCATAGCATGGTGGAGGGTATAAAAAGCTAATGTTTTTGGGTCAATATAGCGCTTATGTATTTAGCAGAACTGCACGTTCAGATATATATATATATATATATATATATATATATATATATATATATATATATATATATATATATATATATAATATATATAATGTATATATATAATATATATCTGTGGAAATCACTCTATCTTCCGAACGGATTGAATAAGATTGATAAAATTTTACTCAAATGTATGTTATGTCTGCAGGACTTTTGGTGAATACCAGTGCAGAATTCTAATAAGTATTATCAACAGCCAAAACTGGTTTGCTGTGACGAAGCAAATTGGACATTAGTTAGTTCGCAATCGCAAGTCCTCCGTGTGACAAGTACAAGAGAAAGTGACGAAAATAAATATCAATTAACAAGTTACATACTGTAGTAACATCAAAAAACCTTGAAATATCAAACACACAAGAATATTGTACAAATCGTGGACAACAATTGTGAACTTAAATAACAACACAGTTACGAAATTTACAAACAAGAAAGAAACTCGTTGTACTTGTAAATATAAAATTTGTGATAGAACATAACACTTACTTTGAAACTTGCGTGCTAAATTCTCTATATAAAACATATAAATTACTAAATTAAAACTTATTATCTATCTAAACAATCGTCCATCTGTGGAAATCACTCTATCTTCCGAACGGATTGAATAAGATTGATAAAATTTTACTCAAATGTATGTTATGTCTGCAGGACTTTGGTGAATACCAGTGCAGAATTCTAATAAGTATTATCAACAGCCAAAAACTGGTTTGCTGTCACGAAGCAAATTGGACATTAGTTAGTTCGCAATCGCAAGTCCTCCGTGTGACAAGTACAAGAGAAAGTGACGAAAATAAATATCAATTAACAAGTTACATACTGTAGTAACATCAAAAAACCTTGAAATATCAAACACACAAGAATATTGTACAAATCGTGGACAACAATTGTGAACTTAAATAACAACACAGTTACGAAATTTACAAACAAGAAAGAAACTACTTGTACTTGTAAATATAAAATTTGTGATAGAACATAACACTTACTTTGAAACTTGCGTGCTAAATTCTCTATATAAAACATATAAATTACTAAATGAAAACTTATTATCTATCTAAACAATATAAATTATATAAAACTAAAAACTACTTCTACACCTAAATCACACTAAAAACCCTCTTGAAGAACAAGCTTAAATAAAACAGGTTGAATAAAAACTTGGACTAAAAATATACATATATTTTTTCTTTCTTAAAAAGGCAAAGGTGACGTTAAAAAGTGCTACAAGAAAGACAATCCACAGTGGTAGAAAGAGCAGCAACACGGACAATTGCGGAAGCAGCAGGGAGAGACGGACGGATACACGTAGAATAACTACAAACAAAGTACAATAACAGAGACCCAAAAACCCAGATTCCAAAAACCCGCATATTCCTATATTTTGTAATAGACATTTGGCTATAGACTCACACAGACATATTTTTTTATAATAGTCATATATAACCATTATATATATATACAATATATATATATATATATATATATATATATATATATATATATATATATATATATATACATACATACATAAATTATTGGATTTTTCTGAACGTGCAGTTCTGCTAAATACATAAGCGCTATATTAACCCAACAACATTAGCTTTTTATACCCTCCACCATACTATGGAGGGTATATTAACTTTGTCATTCCGTTTGTAACTCCTCGTCTGTCTGTCTGTATGTCCGTCTGTCTGTCTGTCTGTCCGTCTGTCTGTCTGTTGTAATCACGCTATCTTTCGAATGAATTGAGATAGATCGCTAAAATTTTGCACACATGTTTATTTTTCCAGTAGGCACGTTAAGTTCGTAAATGGCCCATGTAGGTCCACGTTTTCATATAGCCCCATATAACGGTGCCTCCCTATATTCGGTATTTTGATGATTTTAGCGAAATTATTCACCGAAATTGTTTCAAATTTGGTATTTGAAGTTGCAAATGGATACTTTACCCTAAGATAGAAAATTGTCTGTGCAAGTCCATGTCTTCGTATATAACGGTACCTCCCGATATTCGGTATTTTGATGATTTTAGCGACCTTTATATATATATATATATATATATATATATATATATATATATATATATATATATATAAATTATTGGATTTTTCTGAACCTGCTGTTCCGCTAAATACATAAGCGCCACATTGACCCAAAAACATTACCTTTTTACTTCTGGAAAAGTGTCGTCACCAAGCTAACACATAAACCCCATATTGCATAACATTTACAATTTCTTGACAATAAAGCGTCATTAGTAATATAATTGGTAATATAAAACCCTGTAT